AAATCCGGCAGATGTCATGCTTGTCCTAGAATAAAGGATAAGAAAACAGCACTAAAATGTTCAAAGTGCAACAAACCAACATGTAGAGATCATGTTTTTATGATATGTAGGAATTGTTCTACAAATTGAACAAATTACATTCACTTTTTGTGTTAAAAAATTAAATAAATTTTTTGTAACAATAAAAACAAATTATTATATTGTTTTGTTCATTAAAATTGTTGTTATTCACCAAACGTGTTTTATTTGCATGATAAAATTTATTTTGTGTCATCATTATTTGTTGTTATCATCAGATTTAACCTTGGGGTAGAAATCTACCCCATTCGTCTTCAGTGGATGAAAAAAATCGCCGTCATCGCAGGGTTAAAGAAATGTGATAAATAAGAATTTATTAGTATTCTGTAAAAAGATTTCTAAAATTAGTGCTCAAGCAAATTTTTTCCTCTGCAGCACGTGACCAAAAATGCGTTGTATTGGTTTTTTATTAGAATGTTTATAACTGCTAAGTTTCATGCCTGATGACAATTTTTAAAGAAATGCAATCAATAACCATTTACTAGCACTAAGTAAAAATATTTTTAAAATTAGAACAGATTTTTTCCATGACGCCACATGGTCAAAAAAAGTATTGTAGACTGGTTGTCGGTGCTGTGTTTTTTTTTTTTTATTATAATAATCATAACCACTGAGTATCATGTTTGATACTAATTATTTTTTAAAAAATGTGATAAATAATCATTTATTAACATTCTGTTTGATACTAATTATTTTTTAAGAAATGTGATAAATAATCATTTATTAACATTCTGTTAAAATATTTTTGAAATTAGATTGCATGTGAAATTTTGTTATTTTTTCCAATCATGCCACAAATCATAGTTACCAAGTATTTTAAAAGGTTAGAATCTGAATAATAAAGTTAAGTTTTTTTAAAGAGTCATCATTTTTCTTTCACAAATTATATATTTAATTTTATTTTATATGGTAAAAACCACAAATGCAGTGGCTTAAAGAAAGTGGAACAAATTAATTATTTTTCAATTCCAATGTTTTAGTAAAATTAAAAAAATGGTTTTTAAAAAATAGTTGAGACAATTTTTTGTTCAATTCATTATCAATATGTTTTATAAATATCTGTCCTGTAATAAAATTAAATGATGCATATTAAAACGAATTTATTGTTTTCGCAGATATTTCTATTTGATTTGCAAACCTTTTTATTCAAAATCATAATGCAAGCTCAAGTCCTGAGAGATTTTGTAAATGAAAATTATTCAAGACCTTCAGCACCTCTACTGAAGGGTTAGCTTATTTTTTGTATACAAAAATTGATGGCAAAGAAAACAACGTCCTACCTCGGGGAACTGGGACTCTGGACGCAAAACAAAGATTGATTGATTTTTTTATACAAAAACAACAAAAGAAAACTCCTGCAAAGGCTGAAATTGTGAAAGAGCTGGAAAGCTTTAACTTTGTGTTCAGTGTGGAGATCTGGACTGTAACTTAGAAGGATTAAATTAATTCATAAAAAATTAAACACTTTAAAACTTAATCTAGGTAGAACATGGGATCAAGTTGTTCAGTATCTTGAAGAACCCTTCTATCATCGGCCCCGTGGAAACTCCGAGAAACAGCTAGTGTGTCATGGTCAGCCACCAGTCTGAACCAAGAAGCTCCTACATGCAGTTCAACAGCAGCCTTACTTTAAAAGATCTAATCAGCTATGAGTGCCCAAAAGATCCAATCAACCCCGAGTGCCCAGGAGATCCAATCAACCACAAGTACCACACTGCCAAAAAGTAAAGTTCCACCAATCAAGCATATTTGTAAAAGTTGTATTGCTAAAAATTTAAAAAATAAAACATTATAACACAAAGACACTGAGGAGCATACTGACCATGCCAACCTGAAAAGATGAAGACAACTCAGCCAAAAAATCAAGGACAAAGGTCAAAAGAATACTAAACATGCAGATCTCAAGTTGTTGATGACCAATAATGGAAGGTCTAATGATCCGTTATTTGCCAGCCTTGACAAACTACAAAAGGTCTTTTTTGACAACATCCTTGCTGGAAGACCACTGACAGACAAATTTCTGTACCACAGGTGGTCAATGAGTAAGAAAGAAGAGTCTGCATTTATTGGCAGGATACAAGACAGGAAGAGGAAGAAAGAGGACACATTCATGATCAGCTACTGGGAGGTAGAAGAATCTGCTGAAAACCACAAATTACCCGTAGAAAGTCTCATTACAGACTTGATCAAGGAGACCAGGAATTCTTTACCTGATAAGGGCTATTGATAAATTTATAATTGTGTTAGTGCAAAACGAAGATTGATTGATTGATTGCATAAATGTGTTTAAGTTAATGTGAGAATTAATGCTATATGTTTTTATTTGCTTTGAAATTCACCCATTACTATGATACATTTATATATAAAAAGCCATTTTATCATATATTACTGTTAATACTTAAGGGAATTAATTAAAAAAGAATTATTAATAATTATGAGGCATACATAATTTTTCTTTCCCATAAAATAATTAGTGTTCTTATACAAGTTTTTTTTACGCTGATTTCAAATCTGAAAACCGTTTTTCTCTATCACATTGCGTTCCAAAGAAAACGACTAAACAATTTTTTTAAAAAAAGCTTTTACCTGTATAGTTTATCTATGCCCTACGTTATTTGTTTTCATAATAAAAATTTAATTTCGTTGCCATGCCATGTTTAAATTCTCCTAATCTGTTTTGTTATGTTTGTGGGTATTTTACTGATGAAAACGATGACCCAATTATTAAAAAAAGCTTATGAACTTTATTTCGATTCAAAAGTTGATGATGCGGAAAAACAGTCGAAACCAAACAACATTTGCTCCATTTGTGCTAATACTTTGGCAGGTTGGTTGCGAAAATCACCAAAGCACAAGTCAATGCCGTCTGGAGTTCCAGTCATATGGCGCGAACCCACAAATCATGCCACAGATTGTTACTTTTGCATGACAGTTATAAAAGGATTTTCATTTAAAACTCGTAAGTCTATTTCTTATCCCGACATTGAATCAGTATCCAAGCCGATTCCTCACAACCCTGTCAACTGTCCAGTTCCAATTTCTCCTGATTCGTACTTCTTTCATTCAGATGATTCTTCAGAGAGTGACAAGCAAGCAAATCCAGAAAGTACCAATGATTCTGATGATAACTACATTCCAGAAAGTGATGAAATTCATTTAGTTAATAATGCAAATCTTTCTGACCTTATTCGTGATCTTGCTTTGACGAAAGGACAGGCCGAGCTTCTTGGTTCACGATTAAAACAGTGGAATTTATTAGCTCCTGATGCAAAAATATGCAACTTTCGCTTCAGACACAAGGAGCTTACGCTGTACTTTACATCAGATGACAGTATGTGCTACTGTAATGATGTTAAAAATCTTATGGCACATCTTGGTCATGAAAATGAAGTGAAGAACTGGCGGCTCTTTATTGATGCATCAAAAACGAGCCTAAAATTTGTGCTGCTGCATAATGGAAATTTATTGCCATCAATTCCAATTGCTTACTCCACTCAGTTAAAAGAGACTTATGGCAATATCAGTAATGTTTTAATAAAAATAAAATATAATGATTACAAATGGAGAGTGTGTGGAGACTTGAAAGTCATTGCAATCTTCATGGGTCTACAACTTGGTTACACCAAATTCTGCTGTTTCCTCTGCGAATGGAAGTCGGGATAAAGTTGCACACTATACAAAAAAGATTTGGCCTATTAGGGATCGCATGGAGCCTGGTCATAAGAATGTTTTGCATGAGCCACTGGTTCTCAAAAAAGATATCATTTTACCACCGTTACATATCAAGTTAGGTCTGATGAAGAATTTTGTGAAAGCGTTGGATAAGACAAGTGATGCTTTTACATATCTTCGTTCCATGTTTCCACGAATCAGTGATGCTAAAATAAAAGAAGGAATTTTTGTGGGCCCTCAGATTCGAAAAGTAATAGGTGATAAACATTTTCAAGATATGCAAAATGGAAAAGATCTCGAGGCATGGGTAGCATTCAAATCAGTTGTTGTCAATTTCTTAGGAAATAATAAGTCAAATAATTACAAAGAAATCATTGAACAATGCATCAATGCCTTCCAGAAGATGGGATGTAACATGTCCCTTAAAATACATCTTCTTGATTCGCATATTGACTTTTTCCCTGAATGTCTTGGTGAAGTCAGTGACGAACACGGAGAGCGTTTCCAACAAGAAATCGCTGTAATGGAATCACGCTATCAAGGATGATGGAGTAGTGCTATGCTAGCAGATTACTGCTGGTTTCTGCAACGTGATGCCCCAGAAGCTAAGCACCGTCGAAAGTCTACATGCAAGAAATTTAAGCCTTTTTCTTAAAATTAAATTTGAATCAACTGTCTTATTTTAATGAACAATCACAAAATTTTTAATTATTAACTATTTGTTTTCAATAGAATGACATTTTTTGATTAATAAAAATCTTGAAAGAAATTACTTTTTATATTTTAATGATTATATTGTGAGTATATTTATTAATAAAGTGATCATTACTTCAACTGAAGTTTTCTTAAAATTTTGATGTGATACAAGTAAATGGATTACAGATTTGAAATCAGCATGCTGAAATGATCTAGAAAAACATACACTCACTAAAGAAAGTAAAAAAAAAATTTTTTTTGTATGTCAGCGTTATTTGTTGTAGAAATGTTGTGAAGGATCACACATGTACTTAAACATTCTTTCCATTTCCAAAATTTATGACTGTCAAGATGGCTAAAAAAAATTTCTAATTGGATAAATGTCACACCCACAAACAAAACTGGCAAGTTTGAACAAACACCATCAGAAATTTGTCAATTTTTGGTGTTTGTGATGTCATATATTGGTTTGCCACAACTTAAAATGTACTAGTCATGTAGTTTGAAGGTTCCAGTAATAGCTGACACCATAAGGAAAAAACTTTTTCATGCTACATACTTCTGAAAATGGTTAGGTTATTGATAGAAAAAATTTAGGAAGGTAAGACTATCTGTTGAATATGTTTGGCATAAGTGCTTTCAGTTGCCAGAAATCATAAAAGAGGCACTAAATGAACAAGTGAAAACAATATTTCTCCAACAAACCAAACCCAGTTTGGATAAAAAACTTCGTAGCACCATTTTCAGATGTCATTGCCTGTTGATTTAAAAAATAAAACTTGAGTAGAGCGGTTGTAGCTTGGATGTCACAATTTTTAGCCAATGGTTGTCAAATGTATTGTGACAGATATTTTACACCATTTAGATTCAATGATAATGATCGGTTAATAAGTTTATCATCAGAAATTTGTGCAAATGTCAATGATGGCATAACATGTGACATTGCTGAAGCAGTTGGTAAAAAAATCTTAAAACATTCACTACTCTAAAGTGATTGTAAAAAAATGATGGCAAACATGTACAACATGTGCAAAGTAGGTAAGGAAAGAAAAAGATGTAAGCAGGCTTGCTTCTATTAGCTTACAGTGGAATTTATGTAGAGCTACCTGTTTTTAAATACAAACTTATAGTTTATTCTACACCCTTGTTCAAGGTTGGATTAATGAGGAAACCTGATAAACCTGCTCTATTGAGGCAGTACATCATAGGTTTGACATAAGCAATTTGCCCAGACAACAGCACTGATGTCCTTGATAGTGGCTACTTGCTACATAAAGTGCCTTAATAAAAAGAAGTACTTTTGCTGAATTATTTACAAGCTACAAAGAATAGGAAAAAATATAAAGAAAAATATAAATCAAATAAAGCCAAAGAAGTGAATTGTTACTAATTATTGAAGTTACAAACTTTAAGCTTGAAGAGAAACAATAAAAAATGGCGGATAGTTATTAAAAAAAACTGGTTTTTAAAGCAAATTTAAATAAGTGATCAAAATTTACAAAATAAAAAACTACTAGAAGTTGAACATTTGGACTTTTTAAAATACGTAAAAAGCAAAGCATAACCTATTTTTATACACTTTAAAATTAGTGAAAAAAAAATAATAAAAAATGAAATGAATCACGCTGTGGAAAATACCGTCATATCTTTCAGCTTGTTCTGCCAATTTAGCTTTGTAGACATTTTCATCACGGTCAGCAGCCATTTTAATTTGATTTCAAGTTGATGAAAAGTTGGAAATTAAATGAAATGGACAACTTCAGACTTAAGAAAGAACAACGAGAAAAAACAGCGAATCCACACAATGGACGTCAGATTACACTTCCGCTAATTTTATAAATAATTTCAGGGATGGAAGATGTTCATGCTAAAAATGTGCATTTTCAATTGAATATTCAATCTTTTTGGTTTTCAAAGAGAACACACAATTTTTGTATAACTGTCTCAGACATCCGTAACAATGATCAAGTTCACATCGAGAATTTGTGTCAAATAAAATGTTATTAGTTTGTACAAATTTCAATTGGGAGAATATGAAAAATTACAAAAATGGAAATAAAAATTGAAAAATAACAGCATACGACGTATTATACATATAATTTTATATATTAGAACAAAAAAGCCTTTTTCGGTATTCCTATACCATCTTCGGTGCTCAAATTGATATGTTGTGAGCACAACCACAACATATCATATTAATTTGAACATTGAAGGAATACCGAAAAAAGCTTTTCTGTTCTATCATGCATAAAATAAACAAAAATTTTGGTTACAAAAGAAACTTGAAAATGATTTACGATCAACCGTTAGAAAAATCGAAAAGTTAAATTGGAAGTTAACTAACGCCGAACTTGCTGTGATTTTCATCAATAATTGCATTTCTGACAGTCTTAATCCAATATATATATATATATATCGATATATCGAAATTATTGGATTAATATATATTCATATATATATTTGTTGTGTTTGTGCCCAGATGCTCAAATATATATACATACTGTGCCTCTACTCAATTTTGTTGATTCCTTGTTTGTTTAAAGTGAATACTTAATTTTACAATCTTCAACTCGTTAAATATAACACTTTTATTGTCGATGATTCCTCTGTTTCTAAATTTATTGGTAGGAAGAATTCCAATTGCCCTTTGTTAAATATTTATATTGAACAAAGACATCCGATAATAAATGTTCAACAATTGGAATTCTTCCTACCAATAAATTTAGATCCCCAACTATCTTATGCAATGTGTATGACGCATGGTTTTCACGCTCATCCAGATGAATCTGAAAAATAAAATGACTGACCTAATAACGATGGAAGTGATAAAAAAAGCAAGAATACCCAAAAAACAACAAACGCAGAGTAAAAAAATCCCCTCTGAGCTGAACAGAAAGATTAGTTGGGTAGAATCGATGGCACGCTCTGGGTGTTAGATGCCCCTGTGCCCTTAGCCTCATTCAAAATTTTGTTATATAACATAAATGAAGGCAATGTCATATTATATGGTTGAAAATAAAAATTGACTTGTGGTCGTCATAAGTTGTTAAAAATCAGTATTAACATTTTACCCAGAGTAGAAACTCGGACTTATCTGACCAGCTGTACTTCAAAAATTATGGAATCTCTTAGGTGGGTTGAAAGATCAGACAGTGGCCAAAAAAAAGAATTGAAAAAATTCGAAAACTTCTATATAACTAGAGCAAATAATTATCAATTTAGCCAAACTGGGCTTAATGCATTAAAGATATTCCATCTAAGGAATCTTTAATTTAAAGTACGTCAAAAAATAACTCACTTATTTAAAAACGTATTGAAATCATATCAAATTAAAAATGAGAATAATTGTCTTTAAAATATTACAGGCGTTTAAGTAGTAGCGCTTTAATTTGTCTCACATTTTAAACATGTGACAAATTTCTGTTTCAAGATGAGATTTTGTAGGCTAGCATTAATTAAGCCGAACAATCATTCTTAATGAAAATTATTTATTTGGAAAATTTAGGAAATTGAGGTATTGAATAGAATTAATGAAACATATTTGGTGGACTAAGACGATAATGAAGCTGAAAATTAATTAAATTATTAATTAAATGGACAGAAGTTCCAAATTGGCATAGTTCTAACTACTTGCACTTCTAGCTCTTTATTTTAATATAAATACATGTTTCCTAGAAAATTATGGTAGCTGAGTTTTAAATTATTAACTTTTTAAAAGTGCATTTCCAAAATATAAGTTGATAAAAAAATAAATCTTAAAATAAAATGGAAAAGTTCAATGAGTAGAAATATTAAAGTAAATGATACCTGGAAATATAAAATAATTATATAAACTTTTAAATATTTTGAACTAAGTTCAAGTAGCCAATACATATACATTAAAAAGCATTACTTTCCTATGAATAAACCTTGTATAAATTAACTATACACGCAACATTTCATAACGATAAAATGACTAAGAATGTTCGACACAAACAAATGAATATTATAAAATAAACGAACAGACATTAAACATTACTTGATAAAGATAGAAACTGCATGAAAATAATTATTCTTAAATAACTAATCAATTTAAAAAATTATTATCAATCTCACTTATTTATAAATGAAATTATTACCAAATGTCTTGTACGAGTCAAACACCTTTAAAGCAAATAACTGCTTTCACGAGAACATTTTTAAACATTGAAAAGATGGTCCTGGTGAATAACAAACATCCTGAGGCAAACATGACATGGAAGTGAAATATATTTGTAAATGCATTTAGACTAGAGAACTTCCTACATATAAATGAGATGAATGTGAATTTTGTTCAATAAAGGTTTGAAAAAAAGAAATTTTTCCCTGATATTTAATAATTTTTCTAAATTCAAAAACGTTTCAATCATGGCAAATTTGAGTTTTAATTATTGTCTTTTAAAAAACAACTTAAATACGCCATTAATAAATAAAAACAAGCTCAGTTTTATTAGAAAACACCACACACACGCACACACACACACTCACTCACACACACACACACAAAAACGAAATTTCTAAAAATGGGTAACTTAATAAAAATGTCAATAACAAACACAACACAACACATTGCTCTTCGAGATGTAAACTGTAACACATTAGGTAATGATGATTACTTCGGAATGGTTCTCACATAAATACTCAAACATCACTTGAGAAGTTTTAAATTAAAGAGGTTATAAAATGAGTCAATAAAAAAAATTGCCTATTTCACTAGCACTATTACACTCAAAAGAGTAGGGTATTAACTCAACATAACAACAACAGCAACACAGTATAAGATTCATTATTTTAAATGAATTAAATATAAAAAAAACACTCCCCACGAAGCATTTAAAACACAAGCATCATCACAGCACTAAATGAGGAATGACGTCACCACACTTGGCATCAATCTTGATGTCGGCCATCTTGTCAGCTCTGGTGACACCAATGTTGATGATTGCAATCTTCTTGTCCTGATGCCTGGCCAGCTGCACAAAGTGGAATGCAGAGTAGACCTGATGGTGTTGTTGTAGTTGGAACATTTATTTATTACAACTCTCCCCCCCCCCCTCTCTCTCCTCTCTCTCTCTCTCTAATTTCTCATCTCACAAAACATCATCAACAGCAAACACACAAGTTATACCTAAATAAACGTGAATCAGTCCTATCTCGCATTATCGCACATAATTATTTTATTCAAAAAATATGACAGATGAATATTAATAAAGTCAGTTTGCCAGGATCATTTGGATTTGTATGATTTAAGTCAGTTTAATGAATGTACAATACGTGCTACACCTACATAATGCTGTCACCAACGA